AAAAAAAAAGAATAAGCACTTTCCTGACAAGCACAAGGGTCTAAGTTTAATCCCCAGTTCTGCAAAAAACAAACAAGGGGAGGTGGTGGGGGAACTAAATTTTTTTTCTATTTTGAAGAACTTTCCTTAAGTTGCTAAATTGCCCAGGCTGAGTTCAAACTTGCAGCCCTCCTGCGTCAGACTGTCAGAGTGCCATAATTATAAGCTGTACCATCATGCCTTTTTTTTTTTTTTTTGGTAGTACTGGGCATTGAACTTGGGGCCTTGTGCTTGCCAGGCAGGCGCTTACACTGCTGAGCTATATCCCCAGCCCACGCCTGGATATTTTTGGTTGTTTTCTGAGACAAGGTCTTGTCATGTCGCCTAGGCTTGCTTCAAACTCTCAAGCCTCATGCCTTTAGAAAAATTATATTTGTCACCAGGCAGGCATAGTTGCATGAGCCTGTAATCCCAGCATTTGGGAGACTGAGGCAGGAGGATCCTTGTGAGTTTAAGAGCAGCTTCGGCTACAAAATGAGCTCAAGGCCCACCTGAGCTACATAGTGAGACCCTGTCTCAAAAAGACAAAAACAAAAAACAAGCAAAACATTTTGTTTTCTTTCCTCCTTCACAATTTTAATTTTTAGACCTTTTATTTATGCTTTTTATGTATTTAGTACAGAGTCTACAGGGTCTCACTACACAAATCAGACTCACAGTGATTCTCCTGTTTTCAACCTCCCAAGTGCTGGGATTACAGGCACGTACCACCATGCTCAGTCTCGATTCCCGTTTCAGTGTGACCCAGGGGCAGGGCTGGCACTGCACACTGGGGATAGAACCCCCACCCCTGCATCTGCCTAATATGCTCTGATTTTTATATAGTTTTGTTTTTGTTTTTTGTTTTGTACCAGGGATGGAACTCAGGACTCTGTGCTGGCCTGACAGATGCTTATGCTGTGGGGCTATCTCCCAGCCTGTTATTTTAGTTTTTGGACACGCTCTTGCCACGTGGTCCAGGCTAGGCTTTAACTTGCCTTGTTCTCCTGTCTCAGCCTCCTGTGGGCTATTTTTTAGTCCTTTTAGAATTAGGCACCATCTGACTTCCTCTGGAAGGTGTGACCCCCCACTGCAGGAGGATCAGCTTCTCACTAAGAACAGTGGGCACAGGTCTGCGAGATGAAGAGGCCCAAGAAAGAAACTTTTTCTAAAGTGCTCTCTGGGCAGCCACCATCGCAGACTACCATTCAAGCACGTCCTTAATAAGCAGCCCCTCAGGAAGGGAACTACAGGAAACACCAGAGGCCTCACCTCCCTTTCCCAGGGCTCGCCCAGGCCTCACCTGGTCCCCCAGTAGCCGGCACTACAGATACATTCTCCAGTCTCGGCATCACAGGCGCCCTGAATACAGGTGGGGCAGGAAAAGCTGCAGGCCTCCCCAAAGAAGCCACTGGGGCAGGTGTCTTCACATCTGCGGGGAGGTGAGACTCAGAGCCTGGGAGGGCAGGGCAGGCCTGGCGCCCAGAGTAGGGCCCCTCCCACCTTCCCCGCACTCTCGAACTTAGGTCCCAAATGGCCATTCGGCAGCAAAGCACAGGTGCAAACAGGGGCTTGAACCTGGAGCCAAACCCGGGAGACAGACTACAGATCCCTGGAGGAGGAAAAGGTAGGAAGGACTGGGCGGTTCGGGATCATCTGGCTCAGGTGCCCCTGAAAATCCTCTCTCTCCAGGGGCTCACCCAGAGGCAGCCCCAAGGATGAATGTGCACGCTGGAGGACCGGAAGATAAGACAGAAAAATCCACCCCATCCTAAGCGGGGTGGCCCACTCACCTGGACCCCAGCCTGCCAGGGTCACAGTGCTCGCAGTATCCTGTTTCTACCTGACAGGGCTCCCCGCCCCGGCAGCGGGGGCACTGCTGGCTGCAGCTCTCGCCAAAGGTGCCTGGTGAGCAGGGCTGCTGGCACCTGGTCCCATTCCATCCCGGCTCGCAGGACTCACAGCTGCCGGTGTCCACAGAGCACGGTGCATTCTGCTTGCAGTGGCCGCATCTAGCAAGAGAAAGGGCGCAGCAGAGCACGGGATTGGGGTGGAGGCACCAAGGTAGCAGCGGCCCTTGAACACAGACACTGCTCACTTCCGCCAGCAGAGGCGCTGCAGAGCGTTCGGGACCCAGCTGGGTCACTCAGGGGGACTCAAGCCTCACTTTCTCAGTGCTGTATGTACAGTGAAGAGGTTTGGACAGATGATCTGTGACCTCCTTCCCTGGGTTCAGGGTCACCGGGAACCACCAGCCCAGCCAGGGCAGCAAAGTTATCAGCTGCCTTCCGCCTCCATCCTTCCCAGCTTTCGTGTCCTCCTCTTTCTCTTCTGCCTCTTACACCATGCCAGCCCAGAGAAGGACTGAGAGCTTTACCCTCTATCCTATAACATAAAAGTACACACAAACAAAACATGGGATGAGTGCAGTGGCTTAGCGTGCCTGGAGTCCAGGCTAGTCAGGACTTTAACCAGCCTGGGCAACACAGTGAGAGGCGGTCTTGCTTTCTTCCTTTCTCTCTCTTTTCTCTGAGCTAGGCATTCACTCTGTAATTCAGGTTGGCCTTGAGCTCACTATGTAGCTCAGGCTGGCCTCAAACTCCCAGTGATTCTCCCACTTCAGCCTCCCAAGTGCTGGGATTACAGGTGTGTACCAGATGCCTGGCTGATCCCATCTCTTAAATATATATATA